GTGCCTCTTTTTCTGTGTATATAATCTCATACTATGATGTATGCAAACACATTATATTTATGTTTTCTGCTGTTTGTCATTATGATTGTTCATTGTTAAAGATACCATCTTTCGCTGAGCTTGTATGTAATTATAAGTTCTGCAGTAATAATAAAAAAGAACATAAGATGGACAGGTGCACTAACACCTCATAGCATCAGTAACTCCACAACCCTACCTAGTACCACAACCTTTGGGTTACGAGTCCGACCCTCTAACCATTAGGCCACGACTTCCCCTTTAATGTGCTTCATATGTACTTGTTGAATTTAACCCTTGTTTCATCCGTCTATGATGAATTATTTAAAGATATTTAACCTTGTCATTGTGCCGTTTTTTTCTGTGCATATAATGTATGCAAACCCATTATATTTATGTTTTCTGCTTTTTGTCATTATGATTGTTCATTGTTAAAGATACCATCTTTCGCTGAGCTTGTATGTAATTATAAGTTCTGCAGTAATAATAAAAAAGAACATAAGATGGACAGGTGCACTAACACCTCATAGCATCAGTAACTCCACAACACTACCTAGTACGGTTTCCTCAGCGTTTGCAATGTTAGTAATATCTGCACGAAGGAGACATCGATCAGCTGCTAGAAGATCTCGCCTTTGGTGAAGACTGTTCATTTTACACTCGACAAATGTGAGTATTACTACTTAGAAGTTAAGATACACAATATGCACAATAATAATGATAAATGCTGACCAATACTTAATTATATTACATACTTTCTTACTGAAAATGATATATTTTAGTAATGTAATTGTTGTCATATCCCATAGCTATGCATGACTACACACTAGACAAGCACAGCTGATGTGAATTAATGCATGAATTAATGTAATAATATGTTATTTACTGACAACAGGAGACATGAATAAATGAGTAATGAATAAATGACCATGACGATAAATAAATACAAGTCATGGACACATGAAACAAAGCTTTATTCAAACATTGTTCTAACAATCATGTATTTACAGACGGTGAGCCCACATCTACTGCATCTCAACACAGCTTTATTCTGATGAAGACCACCGTGTCCACCTTCATCTGTCTCTGTCGTCCATCACGACCCTCACTGCTGCAGTCAGACTGAATCTGATCATGGATGAGAAAGACATCGAGGCTATCAATGCCTGAAGCCCCTGAACCACACAACCCCGAAGAGAAGAGAGAACATGGAGAACATGTGCGGGACAATGTAGCCGCTGCATCTGCTCCAAACATCTGTGAGCTACCTGTAACACATTTACACAGAGTACAACGCTTCATATCTCAGGACCAACAACTCACGTGTGGATTACACCACTCATTTGCAATGTTCATCACCTTATAAATATTGAGAGTCATTTTTGAATCTTATCATTATGATGTCAAAGTATCACCAAATATATATATATTTTAAATGTGTGTTCTTTACACAAATCAAAATCTGTAAATGATCAGAAGATGCTTTTGTCTGATAATTCATTATGCTTATTTCGTTTGCTATTATTTCAAGGAGGCAAGGGACTCACACAAGTCTGCAGACTCTTCAGATCCAGGCTTGCTTGATTTGCATTGCTGTTCTCAGCTTACACAGATCTACCTATATGTGGAAGTCAATTGGTTTTTATTTTATTTTATATTGTATTTGTATTTTTGTAAATCACTTTGAATAAATGAATATATGTATTTGCATTCATGTCTCCCTCCGACAGGGTTTATTAAGCTAGGAGTATGCTGTGTTGCACGCTGTTGCAAGGACCTGCATCACTGTATTATTGTGAATATGTGCTTTTGAATCCATTTTGTGATATGATACACATTTCAAGTAGTCTAATGGCCGTGATCCCGACAGCTGCTATTAAGCTGCAGGTTTAACTCGTTGCCTGCGACTCTTACTGCAATGCAATCATTGTTGTGTTTATTAGTGCTGTATTCTTATGATACTCTGTGGTATCATCTATGTTTAAGGGAGGTTTATCCTGAAGAAAGGAGACTAATGGCCGTGATTTAGTGAAAACAACATTAATCATTATTTGCACTTAGTGTAACTAGAATATATAATTTTTCCACTTAATGTACTGCCAAAAGAAAAGAATAGGCCCATCACTGCTCAGCTTCAAGCACACGCAATGCTCTCGGGTCCCTTCTGCCGTCATTTCCATGCGTGACGTCATCGGCGACGCGCACTCGCTCAGTTGCCATGGCAGCTTTGTTGTGAGGGCGGGGTCAGCGGCGTAATCCGCAGTCACGTGGCCCGGATTCCTGTCCGCCCATTGGCTGGCGGCCCGTGACGTCATGTGACCGGGCGTCTCTTTTAAAAAGACGGCGGGGACCGCGAGCTGTATTTCCTCAGGTCCGCGAGCGCGATGGTGCGAACTAAAGCTGACGCGGTTCCCGGCGCTTACAGGAAAGGTAAGACTGAGCGTTAGCTTCGCCTTTATAGCGCCGGCTGTCGCTCCTGCGAGCGTTAGCAGCAACTGTAGCTGCGCTCACGAACGATCAGCTTCTCCCGCCACTCACATCCCTACAGCTCACTCTCAGGAGTAGCGCTAGCGTGTTTTATGAGGAAAACACCGCTTATTCTTACAGGAACTCTATTAGCCCGCTGGTGCTGTTGTGTCTAGCAAACATTGGCCCTAAATATATTCGCCAGAAGCGACCGAGAAGTTATTAAAGGAGTGTTTTACTGCCCGAATGGTCTCACTAATGTTGTTTGTTTTTAATGCAGTTTAATTTTGACGAAATGAAATGGCGCCACTTTCACGTTCACGCGCGGCGCGTCACAATGAAGCGCCCCGGAAGCGGAACTACCTTCTCCCTGCCGCCGCGCCGCGCGCTGAGCAGTGTGTGTTAAGTGTGGTTTCTGATTAGCTGTGTTGTGTTTCAGCTGTTGCTGCTTCTGCGCCCCGGAAGTCCCTCGGCGCGTCCGGATCCGTGAGCGCGCACAGCAGCGGCGCGCAGTCGGGCACGCCGGGTGAGTAGAGTTTAGAGCAGAGCGCTGTCTGCTGCTCGAGCTCCTCTAAATACTGAGACGACTCCTGAACTCAAGCCCGCTTGGTCTCTAGTGTCAGAGTGTGAGAGTGTGAGAGAGTGTGTGTGTGAGAGTGTGTGTGTGTGTGTGTCAGAGTGTGAGAGTGTGTCAGAGTGTGAGAGTGTGTCAGAGTGTGTGAGAGTGTGTGAGAGTGTGTGAGAGTGTGAGAGAGTGTGTGTGTGTGTGTGAGAGTGTGTGTGTGTGTGAGAGAGAGTGTGTGTGAGAGAGAGTGTGTGTGTGAGAGAGAGTGTGTGCGTGTGTGTGTGTGTGAGAGAGAGAGTGAGTGTGTGCGAGTGTGTGAGTGTGTGTGTGAGTGTTAATGCAGCTGTGTTTGCTTCGCTCAGCTAAGAGTAAGTATGCCGGCGGGAACCCCGTGTGTCCGCGGCCCACACCCCTGTGGCAGAAGGGCATTGGGGACTTCTTCGGCGGCCCCAGCAGGAAGGAGAACCTTCATCCCGTGTCTGATGATGATGAGGAGGAGGAGGAGGCTGGCGGCAGCGGCGTCACTAAAGTGCCCAGGAAGTGAGTGCTGAGAGGACTTCCTCTTCCTGTCTGGGGTTTAAGGGTTCACCAAATAACTTACACTGACTAGAAGTAAAAGTCAACAGAGCGTTCCATTGCAGCAGCAGCCTGTGCTTCCGCCATTATTCTGGAGCGAGAGAGTGCGCTAGCTTCTAGCTGCCGCTGGGGCAAATATATTCGCTGCTTTGTTTAAAAAAAACGCACATTAAAGCTGAAATGCAGCCTGAACGATGACGACAATATCGTACGATCACTAGACTAGTGATCGTCAAACCCTTTTAACAGTTTATTTTACAGACTTCCCTTTTTCACAAAACCTTTTGCTCTCTAGAAACCATGTCAGTTTCAGTTAAACATATTTTAAGTTCAAGTGTTAGCATTATTAACACTGAATTAATACCAACATATTAAAATTGAATGAATTTTTAATGAATGAAAATTAGGAATGTTGGACAATAAATATATAACGGGAATATAACAGCTTGACAGTAAACTGTTTGCAGTATTGTCTGATATTAATGTCTGTTAAAGGAAGATTGTAAACAAACACGTACAGCCACTTTCTCAAATTATTTAATTATGACCGACACGGCAATCTAATCTAGATCGTCATGTTTGTAGTGTGTTCCTGGGGATTAAAACGTACAATATATATTTCAGACTATATTAAGTTGCATAAGCTCATGCTAACTCCGTGTCATATCCATATAAATCATTATTATGGTTTCTATGGCTAGGACCTGCAGTTCCTACAAGGATTTAAGTTTACTACTAGACTAAAAACAGTTAAAGTTAGCAGGTGCATAAGCCAGCGCTACGTCCCACTTCAAAACACACAATACTTGTACACTTTTGTGAATAATCACACGTCAGGGTCTTTGGGAAAACGATGAAAGGCAAGATTTTTACTGTAGCACTGATAGTTTTTGCAGTGGACTGCCCAACATTGCGCTCTTTTATTCCACTTTGACCTCTTTCGTTGTTCTGTCTGTTTCTGTGCATCTGTGCTGTTGTTGTACCCAAGCTCCACCTAGTGTCTGGTACCCACACAGCATCAGCGCTTGGCCTCTTGGGCTTCTGTACTCTTTGGCTTCACTGAACCGTGTTCTGTGTTTCAGGTCCAGACCAATCATTGACGACGAGGAGGAGGAGGAATAATTCATGATCCTCTGTTTACATGTTTCAATGACTCCTGATGATTTAGTGTAAATCTTTGTAAATACTTTTAATAGGATGTTCCGTGTGTGTTGTACAGAGGTTTAATAAAATGATTTTTCAGAGTTGTGTGTGTTTATCTGATCTCGGCGCTGAATGCGGTCAGATTAATCCTGTGATCTGCATTAAGAGCATTTGATCACTGATGCATTGTTCGTTCATTAGTAAGCAGTGGTGTGGGTTTTTGGCTGGAATCCACTCAGCTCTTGACTTCGAGGAGGTTTGTGTTCAGAATATGTGCATTATTACAGCTAACCCTCTGCGGTTCATTCGGGAGTCACGCTTGTGCTTGCAGTCAAGTGACCGGACACCTGAGATTTTTTTGACGATGCCAGACTGTCAGGATTAGGGATGGAGCTAAATCATCTCTCTTTAATTTCACTAACGTTACTTATTTACAAAGAGTAAGTTTATCATCACTAGATTATAAGGATTTCATAGTTTATCATAAATCTGTGGACTTATTATTTATATATATATATATATTCCCTTTTTAGCCAATTGCAAACAGGACAACGCAAGCCTTAAGGAAAGCTGAAGAAAGCCTGTTCTCTGTATAAGAGAGTAGGCTATACCTCCACAGCTACTATAGACTTGATCGGTGTCGCGTCATGGCTGTGTGGGCGGAGTCGGCGTGTTTCCCGCGTTGGAAAAGCATGGTGTTGACTCAGAATGGCCTACATACAATCATTCCTGCCGCTCGACAGAGCAACATACGCATACAAACAGCCGTATTGGGTCGGACTGTCCGTACGGTATCTGTGACTGGACAAACGACCCAGCGGAATGGCCAGAGGTGGCCTTTCTCCACATTTGTGTTACTGATTGAGTCTATAGGCAAGAGACAGCTTGTGAAAGTAAACATTTGTCGTTTTGTTTTGCTTAATTTTAATAAAGTGATAAAGACTTGAGTGAAAGCCTGTCGTACTTTTTTATTGATATATTAAAAATAATTTGAACATTGACAAAACAGGTCACATTAAGGTCCACTGAAGCGCCTTGAAATGCGCAGCGTTATTCTATGTGGTGTGTGCTGTAAGTATAGCCTAATCATTTTCACAAATACATGCCATAAAATAACATGAAGTTAATACGAAAATAACCCGTGGTTACAACCAAAAAACATGGTTACTATAGTTAAACCATGGTAAAAACAACATGTTTTGCTACACTAACCATAGTTTAACCATGGTATTTGTAGTAAAACTGTGGTTATAGGCTACAATTGGTAATAAAAACGCCACAAAAACATGGTTGGCTTACTATATTTTTACTATAGTAATACCATTGCTACTTTTCGTAAGGGATTGTGTCTAATAATATGAATATCAGGGAGTGATTTATTTGATTGCGATGTGAAGGAGGGTTACTGTAAGCCCATCAGAACTGGGTCGCGGTGCAGGGGGACGGGACTAATGACAGATCACTGCAGGGAATCTGGAGTGCATATAAATATGTTTCATACGCTGCATATCCATAACTACTGTCGGAGTTCTGATCATATGTGCTACCCGCTCAGTGCTACCTCCGGTAGTCCGTCTGTTTGTTCGGCATATAAATCTTCAGATCAGGTTTTGTAACTTATTAGAGGTACAGAACGCCTCGCAGCAACTTTTCGGCATTGCGCCAAGCAAAAATCAATCGAAATCATCACAAAAAGTAAAGATCAAGCGCCTAACAAGGTCTTCGCGCGTTAATGGACCCTTTTCACAAGACTGATGACGCGTTTAACGGTCACCAGCATCGCAAATCCTCGAAAGTTTTTCATATTTCTATTTTTAAAAATGTATCTACATTTATAACACTATTCTTTGTATTATATCACCTTTGCATCAAATTACAAAAAAAAACAGTTAACGCTAATGCGAGGGTGTTTCTAATGCAGCGTCTGTGGGAGGGACTGTAAACTTGACATCGTTCTCTCTGACTGCCGTTATCAGTCTCTCTCTATTTTTTTCCTTTTATTGAATGTCATGAAAACACTATCGTGGAGTATTTCTTTTGCTATTTGAGCAAATGGGAAAGCAACAAATATATCCGTGGTACTCTCCCATTCACTGCTCTTCAAGTTAACCCAACTATGACGACTTCCGCTGCTGAGAAACCCGGAAATACACAGCAACTTTTCGGCATTGCACAAAGCAAAAATCAATCGAAATCATCACAAAAAGTAAAGATCAAGCGCCTAACAAGGTCTCCACGCGTTAATTCGAATGGTTTGTTTTCCCCCACGGCATAAACGGTTATGATGTTTTTGTGGGCGTTCCCAGCAATGCCGAACAAGTCTATGACGCGTCTAGGGCCGCTTCTCAATATGCGCTCTTGTACTTGTGTTCCTGTGGACTTGTGGAACGTCATCAGTCCTCACCGAGTACTGCTCCAATTGAAAGTTCACATCTAGCCAAGTACAGTTCAAATCCCCGGATGTGTTCTTGCTCCGCCCCTTTTATCGACGATGCATCCAGAGGTGACTTGTGCGAACATGAGGCAGCCAGGTATCCCAGAATGCATTTCGCACCAACCAGCGAGTGTTAATGGCGGCGAAAACCCCAATAATTTTCTAAATATGACTGTTACTGTGTCATGAAATGCAGTTGCAACAGTATTTCAGGCGAGAATGTAGCTGTTTAAAACTCAAATCTGCGGTTTATTTATAAAGATAGTGCCTACTTGAAAATGTTCTTCGCCGATTTCGGAGCCGTAGCTCCAGGCGATCAGCGGGCGCTCAGTGCTCATGTATCCGCCGAGAGCAGCCTCACCGCGGATAATTACTGTTATTGTGTCATGAAATGTAGTTTTAAGAGTTTTTCAGGCGAGAATGTAGTTGTTTAAAACTAAAATCTGCTGTTTGTTTATAAAGAAAGTGCCTATTTGAAAATTTGCCATGCCGATTTCGGAGCTCCAGGCGATCAGCGGGCGCTCAGTGCTCATGTATCCGCCGAGAGCAGCCTCACCGCGGCTAGTCCTTCTGACATTAGCCGCTGGCTCAGATGTCTCTGTAGTGGTTAAACATGAGGTAAAATTCGTTTTGGGTAAATCTAACAGGCAATCTTTGGTATCATGAATCTATTATTTCTTCCAGGTCATATCGTTTTGGCTGAGCACAAGCTATTAATATTTTAAAGAAAACAAGAAGAGGCAGCGGTGTTTGATGTCGTATTTCGTCGTGTTGTAAGTGCATACAGCGAGGCGAGCAAGTACTCTGCTGCTCCGGACTCCCGAGACCGACTCTGCGCTCTTGGTATCGAGAAACGGCCAGGTATTTATTATGTCTGTGTTTTTAATGATATGATATCATGACGTTGCTGTCTCGCGCCAGCCAATCGCTGCTGATCGTGGTTTCGAGTATCGATGTGCTTCACATCTGTGTGCTTTTTTACCCTGGACTGTAATATGATTTCAGCTTTATCTTTAACAGCATTCAAGATGTTTTTAACATTTCAAAACACATTCTCGTGTTAGCAGACAGATTACACTTTCACATGTGACCAACAATTCCACAACAAATATCAAATATCATAATGAAATATATATATTTTTTTCCCTTTTTTTTTTTACATAAAAAAAAAATATATATATACATAAATAAAAGAAAACACATACCCAAGTAAGAGAACCTT